TACCTTGTTGTTATATGTTAAAAGGTTTGAGCACCCACAGATGCTCAAAGTTTGTTGATAGAATGTCACATAACTCTGGTTGTTTTCCAGTATTGGTCCCATAAAAGGCGAGTCATGTGTTTCTATGTCTGTGATTTTCCACAGTCGTGCTTCTGCAATGTTTTTTAACTTCACATTCCATCACTGGGAAAGACCTAAAAATTACATCTTGTAGAAATTAATGTGGCTTTTTTGTTTGTTTGTTTGTTTTGTTTTAAAGATCTTTGCAGTTGATGAGTGATTTTTTGTTTGTTTGTTTGTTTGTTTTGTTTTAAAGATCTTTGCAGTTGATGAGTGAAAATAAGTCTTGGGACACTGACAAATCTTCTCTGCAAGTGCTAATAAGATGAATAGTTTACTAATCTGGCTTTGACCGTGTTTGCTGTTAGGAATGAGGAAACTTTTCACTCTTGACTTTATTAACAGCATTGAGAGCCTTCACTGAAAGTTCCTCAGGTCTGTGCTGCGACTTCGTTGGCTAGAACCCATTTGGAGCTACTCATTTTAAAAGTTGAATTCATTGCCAGTCTCTGTGTGAGATGTTACTTTAACCATGTAAAGATGTTTGCATTTGTTTATGTTGTGGGATATTACTTTAGGTGAAGATGTTTTATATTTGTTTATGCTGCATTTGTTTAATTATGTAAAGATGTGTTGCTGTTTCACCTTGCCAGCCTAAGGCACCTGATTGCTCTAATAAAAAGCTGAATGGCCAATAGCTAAGTAGTACTGGGATAGGTGGGGCTTGGGGGCAGAGAGACTAAGTAGGAGGAGGAATCTAGGCTCAAGAAAGAATGAAAGGGAGAAGAGGATGAGGGATAAAGAGAGAGAGATGCCTGGGGCTATTTAGGCAGCCACCAGCCAGCCAGACAGAGTAGGACACAGAGAATGAAAGAAAGGTAAACAGCCCAAAACAAAGCATAGATGAAGAGAAATAGGTTAATTTAAGTTATAAGAGGTAGTGAGACAAGCATATGCTAAGGCTGAGCATTCATAACTAATAATGTCTCCCTGTCATGATTTGGGGGCTGGTTGGTGGCCCAAGTAAAAGCATGCTACAAATCTTTGTTTGTTTACCTGAGAGAACACACATATACATACGTCTTTTCTGAGAAGCTGTCTTACCTTTTAGTTCACAATTCTACTAGCAACTTATAATTGCTTTCCTCCAAGGGAAAAATGAAAAAAGTCTTTGTGTGTGGGTTGGCTAGCTTTGTGTTACTTTAATGAAATACCTGAAACGGACAATTCATATGAAGAAAAGTTGTTGGTTCTTTTCCTCATGGTTTCAAAGGGTCTAGGTCATGCTCACATGACCCCATCTTATTGGGCCTGTAGTAAAGCCTCTATATGATAGTGGGGTGCACACGTCACATGCTCAATGAGAAACGAGCAAGAGATGGATAAGCATAATACATCACTCACAGGTATCTGTCCAATGGCTAACTGCCTCATGATAGGAACCGCCTCAGAATGGTTTTAGCTCCTCTCAATAATGCTACAGGCCAGCAACATGCCTTCAAATATCTGAGTAACATTTAAAACAAAAACCCATCATGACTGATTTGGAAATTTCCACTCAATGAGTCACAAAATATGTCTTAGCTTGAAGTTTTAAAAGGGCTATAATGGGCAGCAGTCCCTTTTGTTATCAAGAATGACCCAAGTACAAGTCCTTGATTACAATCATATATAAAGGCTGTTGACTCTACCTTATAGTTGTGCAAAAGGTAATCAGGTCAAGTATTTAATTTACTTTGGAGAACCTATTTCACTTTGAGAAGAGTGAAATGAACAAGTGCGATTTACAGATCTCAGTGAAATGTGCAAATACTTTGTGTTACATATAAGCAAATACAATGGAATGACGTGACCTACTTAGAGCCTGTAAAATCACCAAACCTTGAAGTGTAGTGCTTTCAGTGAGCATGACTGCCAACAGGAGTTACCATCCAGAAGTCATGTCCTTCATATGTGAGCACATCCACCAGTGTAGGTTTTCAAAATCTGAATGCTGCATAGGTCCAGACAAAACTGAAGAATAGAGAATGTGTAGAGTCAAAAGTGCCATGCACTGTTGTGGCAGGTGCACACAGGTACATACATCCACATATTATGTATGGATTTAATGTACTTATCAAACTTTCTCATGACAACTAAAACTTAATGTTTTACATTTTACCTCTAGAAATAATCTTTGTTTCTAAAATGGTCACATTAAACATTAGGTCCCATCAAAGAGATAACAATAAAAAATGAATTTCAACCTAAGTTTAAACTGTGAACTTATTCATTTATGGCATAGGATTGTCTTGTAAGTCGAATTTGGAGCCCTTTAATTGCAATGCAGCACAAGTAGCGTGTAGCTGAAGGGCCATATTACTAAAGCAGAAGGCATCTGTAGTCTTAGGAAGTGTCCCTTTGCTAGCTTTCAGTGGTGGATGCTACCCTATCCCCAGTGGGTATGACCCCAGACCCTTAGTGGCTACCTGGAACCCCGTGAGTATGTTTCCTACACATGCATACCGAAACTAAGGTTCATTCCACAAATCTGGTACACTAAGAGATTCAGCAGTAAGGAGAAAATTTGAAGTCATTTTACAGTAGGAAATTCTTTGAATTTCATGATTTGTTAATTTCTGCGATTTTCATGAAATATCTTGAGGCATCAGCAAATAACTGAAACCTCAGAAAATATGGACACTGGATAGTACATTCTTAATATAATTACTTAATTATTTTTAGTAAAGAAGTGTGTTGTTTCCACCAAGACTCGTGGCAAAGAGTGTTCTAAACCCTTCCTTTTTCTTTGCTAATTCACTGAAGAATCGAGAGCTATATCAAGGGGTAGAACTTGCCCATGGGATTTCACAGCTGTGATTGGCACTCTAAATGAGATTCAAGGTCAGACACACAGCACCCTTAGCAGAGATAAAGAATCAAATGAAAAGTCTGGAATAATGGCTAGTTGTGTTTATCAGTTGCCTCTCCCTCTGCTTCTAGGCAGAAAGGCTCTGCAGGGGCTTTGCTCATTCTCAACACCAGTGCTGTCTCCACCTGGGCTTCGAGTGACACAGCAGGAAATTGTGATCTGGTTTACTAAGCATCCTTCAGACAAAGACAATAATTAAAATATCCTGATTTCAAAATGCTATTTTTTTGGCTCCAGACAGTGATTTAAATGGATCAGAATGCCAAACAGATTCTTAGCACTGTGCCATACCACTTGAAGCATACTCTTAGTCATTTCTGGCACTCATGTGTAATATGAGCCCAAGTGTGTATGTGCATGCTGTAGTGTGCCGTGTTTACATGCATGTGCATTATATAGTTTAAATGTGCATCCTATGCATAGTGGCATCAATGGAAGATAATGTTTAAAAGAAGATCCTGTTGCTATTGAATAATTGCTTAAGCATGTGTTAGCTATGCTGTCTCCCCAATGAAAGGCAGTCAAATGAACTGCAATAACCACTTTCAGAGTTTCTATTCCTGTAGCACAGTGTTTTTATATACTTTACAGTTTGTCCTCACAAAAATCAAATCATCTTGTTCAGTTCAGAAGCACCTTGGTATAAGGAAACCTATTAAATGTTTCTTTAGCACATGTTAATCCAGTTGTATGAGACTGAAGAGAGCAACTGAGTTACTCAGCTGGTGGACTTCAACTTTTTCTCTATTCACAGGACTTCTCAGCCATAAGCTAAGAAGATGCTATTGAACCCAGGACTCAAATGCCTAACCTTTACCTTTCAAAGCCATGTGTGAATTAATTCTGGGGTTAGAGGGAAGAGGCATGTGGTGTCTTTTGTCATTGAAGCCCTACAAGCCCTTCTGAGAAGTATTCCAGTCTACTTCCAAACTAACCAAATGAAACACTTGGATGTGAATTATTGATCTGGAGGCTACAAGTTTAGAATGATCCATGAAAATTAAACACTGACAGATAGCTGTGGAGCATCCAAACAGTATAGCATTAACCACCAGAATCCGGTGAACTACTAGGCAGTTTTTAAATTGTGCACTCATGAGCATTATGAATTATCACCAGGACTGAACTCTATAGCTAGTGACACTAGCTAAGGTAGCTAAGGATGCTCAGATCCTCATCTTTACATCTAACAGATCCTTGGGGATTCAGGGTCAGATATGGTCACTCTTTCTCCATACACCTGAAAGTTGCATTCCAGGGAAATCGAAGTACACTCTAGGATTTCTTGGGGATTAAACTGTGTGCTTTAGAATTTAGTTCTTCAAATCTGATATTAGAGACTGTGAAAAATTTCGGAGAATGGTGGGAAAACAAAAGAGGCGCAACCCTCCTTCTGCACTGAGAACTTTGATAGCTTCTACTCAGGTGTCAGGGTCATTGGAGCTGTTTTGGCTTTTGTAGCAGGCCAGGCATGCAACCAGTCCCCTCCCCCACTCCTTCCACTGTGACCTTGAGGACTGAGTTGCCCATGTCCAGCAGAGGCAAAGAGGAGGAGCTGTAGGTCATGGGCCTTAACTGATGGTGCCTTCCTTCCCTAAGATCCTAACCTGAACCATGGACCTGCTGCTGGCTGTGTGATCTAAGCAGGGTTCAGTGTTTCTGATGAAGTTCCAGACACTCTGTGGACCTCTATGCCATCATCTCCTTCTTTCTCTTTGTCTCTCCTGTTTCTCCCTATTCAGCAACTCTGTGAATGGATTGGATTATGAGTTACTGCAGGCCTATGGGTTGTTGCTAGGACAGAAAACCCCGGGCATTGTTTAGGGAATGGCATTTGTTCTCTAGCTGCTCCTGGAAACATAAGAGCTTTTCCTTTTAAAGCAGCAATCCCAGCAGCTGAGGTAAACATCTCCAGTTCATTCAGTAGGATGCAGGGCTGCCTGCAAGCTTTTCTCTGGGAAGCCCTCAAGGCTGACGAGTGGGAATCGGCTCTCACTGGCCGAACTGTCTACTAAATGTGCTCATGTTCTTCCAGGAGGTGAACGCGATCGGATGACAGCGAATCATGAGAGCTACCTCCTCATGGCGAGCACCCAGAATGACATGGAAGACTGGGTGAAGTCCATCCGCCGAGTCATATGGGGACCGTTTGGAGGAGGTGAGCATAGAAAAGCAGAAGGTAGACAAAACAGTTCACCCTTTTCCTCCAGCTGTTACTGCATCAGCTCCTGTGTCCAAATGGGTGAATGTTAACACAAATAGTAAATTATTCAACACTATTGGTAGATGCATATCTAAATAACTCCTGGAGGCTTAATCAAGATCACATGTCGCTAGTAACCAAACTTTTGCGAATATGTTGAATTCTAAAACAGAGTAACTTTGTTTTTTATTTTGAATTTTCCCCATTTTTGACTAACAATGGGTTATTAGAGTATATGAAAAAAATAATCTTATTGCTTATTGCTAATTTCAAAATTAGTAGCAAATGAATAGATAAAAGCCAACAGTTTCCTCCTATGAAACTGACAAAAAAAATGACTTAATAGGACATATGCTACAGAAGTTCACTAGCTAAGAATGCTTGGTTATAAAACAAAGGAATAAAATAATATATTTGAAAATGGTCCCCCAGGAAGCCCCAGAAGCTCAGTGGTATCAAAAGGAATGCCACAAGTTTTTATGAGAACTGATGTGGTTTAGATTAAATAAATGTAACAAATTAGAAATTGTTCTAATACAATCCAAACAAAATGAGGTTGAAAATGCAGTATGCAGAAAATGAGCCAAATCATGTTAAGAATGGAATAGAATAGAATGAAAAAGAAGAAGAGATTAAAAGTGGCATTTTATCCTTCAAGAAATCAGAACTAGAATAACATAAATAGAAATGTTATTCAAAGAAATATTTAATTAATGAAACCCAAAAATAGTGATAAAAGTACTTGTATATCACCAAATGTATTTCCAATGAGGTATGATAATATTTGTTAAAAATGAAATATGTTAATGTAGTTAAAAATCAGTTTATTAACTCAAACTCTCGTTTAGCAAACCAAACATAATTCCCATATTTTACATTATTTTTTTGTGTGTGAACTGTCAGCACATTGAACTCTCAAAAATAATTCTTTTTTATTAATGTATCAGATGTTCCTTAGGTTGATTGACCTCCTCATATATTAGAATAATTTCCAAAACAGTTTGAAATGTGAAGTTGATTAAATTTTGATAACTATTGAACTTTGCAGATATCTCAGGAGTAGATTCTGTGTGTTTAGCATGCATGAGTGCCTGGGTTTGAGTCCCAGGACTGAAACAAAGGAAGGAAGGCAAGACTACACAGTAAAGTTTTTTGGAAGACATGTTGGTATCTAGTGGTATTTGCCTCTACAATTTCTGCTCTTTAGCATGTTTTCTATCAGGTGTGTGGTAACCATGCTCTGACTTGCAGCTGATACCCCAGGATGGGAGGAACTTTCACTCTCAATGTCTTAGCTTGCATGGTGGTGCCTTTACTCACCCTGTTCATAAGCTAAAGTGATGTAGGAGACTCTGCCCTCATACAGGATTCCCTGTGGCACACATGAGAAATGTGCACGTGACTAGTTCCATCTTGTTGGCACTTCCCAGCATACCCTGAAAATGTGACATCTCAAAGTACCTTTTGCTTCTCTTCTGTAATCAGATTGCTGAGGCCCCCGATTTCAGGAGTAGCCTTAACATCAGCTTAGAGGTGCATTTCTTAGAGTGATTATGTCAAACATGTGCATGCTCCTCCCATATCCTTCTCTTCCAACTGTCTTCTCAAAGAAAATGGGTAAAGTTGGTGTCCACATAGTGGTCAGAAATGATCTCAATAGAAATAGTTACTGTCCATGAATCTCCTAATCTATGAGCCTGAAAGGGATGTTCCAGCTGTTCACTGTCTTACATAACGTATACATGTTAGGGCTTGTGCATGTATGTACGTGTGTGTGCTGGTGCACTCCAAGCATGCAAGTGTGGAGGTCAGAGATCGACATCAGGGTGTCTCACTGACCATGGAACTTACCATTTCAGCTAAACTGGCTGGCCTGTGAGCCTTGGGATCCAACTGCCTCTGCCCCCAGCACTGACATTACAGGTGCATACTGACACACATGCCCTTACAAGGGCTCTGAGCATCTGAACTCAGGTCCTCATGCTTGCACAGCAAGCACTGTATCCATATCTTGAATCGCCCCCCCCATGAATTTACAAATACATGGTTCAAGTTTATCTATTTTGAATGAATAAATTTACTTGTTACCATGTTTCATTTTTATTTTATTTGTTTTTTAATTAGCATACAAAGGACATATTTATTTCTTTACAGCCTTTTTGTAGGCATTTAGTTTGAGTTGGTCCTCCTCCCAAGCCTTCACCCTCCCCCCTTTCCCTCACACTCATCACCACTGCCCACTGAAGTATTCTATCATCTGTGCTCTCTGAGCCTCCCCACCCACCTCACTCCCAACCCAGAGCTGTAAAGCCTCTTTATTCCCATTCCCTGGACTCCTCTTCAGATTCCTGGCCTCTATCCACACTTACTCCATATAAATGTACACATATGAAAATTAGTGATTGGCACTTGGTGGTGTTTAGGTTTTGTAGTTCTTTGTGTATTCTAAATTTTGATCCCTTGTATAAAACTCACCTGTCATAGATCTTCTCCTGCCTTGTAGGCTGTCTGTTTTCACTGTTGATAACTCATTTCTAAAGATATATAAATGTACATACATATATATGCATAATCACTCATAATAAAAACAATGCTTCAAAAATTAATTTCTCAGGTTCTCCCTTTTACATGTTAAGAAATTAAAAGATCAGCTTTAAAAATACTTATTTAACTTTCATAAAATATTTAATGATTCCTCTTCATTTAAAAAAAAAACAACTGTATAAATTTAATGCAGCGTAGAGAACCAAGCACACTGAAGTCTTTGATAGATTACAGTTGTTTACAGTTGTCACCCTTGACCCTGCATTTCAAATGCTCATGATGACTAATTCTATGATCATGAACTGAATTTTGAAGAATGTCCTAAATTTTAGGTGTAAACAATAAATTTACATGACCAAAATGTTGTTTATTTTATGTTTTGAAGTTCCACTCAACATTGCATTAATAATAAGTTTTTTATTATTTAGGTCATTTTAAAGTCATTTTTTAGCTCTACTTAGCATTCTGTAAATTAGACCATCTAGATCCAGTGTAGGCAGGTAATTGACAAGTGCCAAAGCACAAGTAAAGCTTATTTCTTCATCTGATTGACAGCACAATAATATTGTCTGATACTTCTACTGTGTTAAATACAAGCTCATGCCCTATTAATAATAAATATTGAAAATAAATGAACAAAAATTTTAACTTATGATCATTATAGTTAAACTAGTTTCTCCAGACTTCTAAAATACCTGAATTGATGCCACGAAACTAAATATATATTTATATATGTGAAGAAGCACCCCATTCTTGCATGAATACATAAGTTTGTGAGTGGTCATGCACTTGTACCAAGACACTTCGGTAGCTGACAGGACACATTACACAGTAGCCTGTAGATTGTGTGGACCCCATTGATTTGAATTCGGTAAACACCTGAGGAGTTTGCCTGGCCCCCTCACTCTCATAACAATTAAAACCAAGGAGGAAAGAAAGTGTAGGACTCCTCATCAAATGAAGCCAGTCATTTTATAACTATTCAGCTAGGTATAGGGTACCAACTGGAATGTAAAACAGACTAACAGCTCAGCTGGAAAAGTAAACTTCAGCACAGACTCTAGATTCCCCAAGCTGGGCTATGTGCTTAAAGCTCCATGACCAATTCCTCCCATTAACAAATAGTGTCTGCTTTAAAGTAAACCAGGAGATCTTGTGCGTGTGTGTGTGTGTGTGTGTGTGTGTGTGTGTGTGTGTGTGTGTGTATGTGAGAGAGAGAGAGAGAGAGAGAGAGAGAGAGAGAGAGAGAGAGACTGAGTGTGTGGGCTGTGTGTGTGTGTGTGAGTGCGTGTGTATGTGTGGGCCTGTGTATGTATGTGATATGAGTGTGAGTATGTAGGTCTGTATTATGTGGTGTGTGAGTATGTAAACCTCTATGTGTGCCTGTGAGGTAAGTGTGAGTGTGTAGGCCTATATGTGTATGAGTTATGAGTATGTATAGGTGGCCTGTGTGTGAGGTGAGCGTGAGTCCTCAGGTATGTGGGTATATGTGGTATGTGAGTGTGTGTGTGTGTATGTGTGTGTGTGTGTGTGTGTGTGTATCAGTAATAATTAAATAAGAAGTGCTAGTAATATGAGAGGGAATGGAGGTAGGACACAGGAACTGGAATGGGGAGAAGTGATAATGATATAAAAACAATACTCATGTATGAAATTATCAAAAATTTAATAAAACAAATTAGGCCACAAAGTTGGGTTCTTACAGTGTTCCACTTTGAAAACATATAGTTTAGTTTTTAGTTATTTGTTTACTTTTAGTTATTTCCTTCTTGTTTGTTTTCAATTTTATTTTTAATTATATATATATATATATATGGTGGCTCATACACACACATACATACATGCATATATAGTACATACATACATGTATATTGAGTATATGTTTGCTGAGATCAGGGCTACCAAATGACTCTAACGCTGAATCCACAGGTGTTGTAAACTGTCCAGCTTGGGTGCTGGGAACCAAACTCTCCTGTGCAAGAGTAGCAACCACTCTTAACCTCGGAACCATCTCTTCAGAACCTTGCTTGTTCTGTAAACTGAATTCTGTTCCAGCTGATTTGGGGGCAGTGTACGTGGAAGTGGCCTATGAGACTTTCAAGTGAGCACCTTGTCTGTTTGGTGGCTTTCACTCACCTAGAGTGAACACAAACACACACACACACACACACACACACACACACACACACACACGAAAGAAATCTCCCTGGCTGTGTCACTGGGCAAATGATGCTGCTATAGAGGGTGCCTTCCTCATACACCTCAGAGCTGGGGGAAGCTCCTGCTGAAGGCCTGGGGAGGAACTAGAGGCCATGGGGTCAGCTAGGGTTAAGACACCAGCATTCCAGATCTGCTTAGGGAGCCGGCAGGTGGATGAATGATTAACCCAGGGAGTAAATTATTCAGTGAAC